ATCGTCTCTCCAAAACGTCTAGCCATATTATCGTCTCTCTAGCCATATTATCGTCTCTCTAGCCATATTATCGTCTCTCTAGCCATATTATCGTCTCTCCATAACGTCTAGCCATATTATCGTCTCTCCAAAACGTCTAGCCATATTATCGTCTCTCCAAAACGTCTAGCCATATTATCGTCTCTCCAAAACGTCTAGCCATATCATTATCATCTTTCCATAGGTCTATATAATTATCGTCAAGCCACATCGTCTAGTCAAATCTTCTCTCCAAAACGTCAATCCATAAAATATCATGTTTCCATATCGTATAGCCGTATTATCTTACCATATCGTCTAGTCATATCATCTTTCTTTATCGTAAAGCCGTTTTATCTTACCATATTGACTAGTCATATCATCTTTCTATATCGTAAAGCCGTTTTATCTTACCATATTGACTAGTCATATCATCTTTCCATATCGTATAGCCGTTTTATCTTACCATATTGACTAGTTATATCATCTTTCCATATCGTATAGCCGTTTTATCTGTATAGCCGTTTTATCTTACCATATTGTCTAGTCATATCATCTTTCCATGTCGTGTAGCCGTATCGTATAGCCGTATATGTCTTTGTTTAGCGTCTTGCCATTTCGCCTAGCTATGTCGTCTGGCCATCATCTTTGGCCATAGACTAGACCAGTGCTTTGTTGGGCCAGCATAGGTGTAATGTTTGCGTGACCAGACTGGCAGAGGCCAGACCTGTAGCTCTACGTCATGTTGCAGGTTATGGTCAGAAATGACGTAATGGTACTTCGTCCTCCTTGATGTCTGGCGGTGAACATTGTATCTGCAGAGGTGTGTGTGTGTGTGTGTGTGTGTGTGTGTGTGTGTGTGTGTGTGTGTGTGTGTGTGTGTGTGTGTGTGTGTTTGTGTTGCTACACCTAAGCCTCATGTCGTCCGGTACCCTGTGAGCGTGTGTGAGTAGCGCCGAGCCCCGACACGTGAGATAGGTACATGGGTACAGCTCCACACACGGGTACCTGGCCTCTGGCCGGTATTTCAACCTGAAAAAAGTTTTGTTTTGTTTCAGTTTCTTTAAGAATAAGAAAGAGTTTTACGACTCCTGCAACACCAATGTGTCATATTCAGATTCTACTGGTGCAGACGATAAGATAACCCAAAAGTTTATTTTCTAATTGTAGATCTTTTACTCCCCGATCGAAACAATTTAGATCGTTCTCCAATGGTTGTTTTTCAATGATGAGCGGGTGGTTGGCGGGCGCCACTGGTAGGTCCTACTTCTTCTCTTTCCCTCTGTTGTTTCTTTCTGTCTTTCTTTTCCTATGCACTCTTCTGTTACATCATGTCCGTTATCGTGCGATGTGCTTCTCTGTTCCAGCTGAAAATTCCACCAGACAAAGGAAGCGGTTAATTGTCCGGTGGCTGGGTGGCTCCCTTACCTCAGCTGTTGATATCATGCCCAACTACAGGCCGGGTGTCCCTGGTTCGATTCCCGGACTGGGCGTTCTTGAGCGTGGGTCGTTTTATGGAGTTTTCACGGTTGTCAACCCATTCGTCTCTGTCCTATCGGAGATGGACGTTAAATTTGGAGGTCCAGCCTCTGAAAATACCTAATAGTGTTGATATACCCGTACACTTTTACTTTTCATCTAACGGGCATGCTCTTGAGATAGGCGAAGAACTGTCTTATAACTGGTCGCTTATAAGCACAAGGGGGCTATCCCGAAAAATTCTGTTTTGAGAAAATCGAAAGTAAAGTTTTTGCCCCTGGTTCTGTTTCTTTAAAAGACCAGGAGAGTTTTCTCTATAACCAAACAAATATACACACTAGTGAAACCAAACTTCTCCTATAGGTAGGGCAATAACCACTTTTGGTGTAGGTCGAGATTTCTAGAAACCCCCGAAATCTGGGTTAGCCAACTTGTCCTTAAAAGCGACCAAGAAGGCGGCTACTATAATAATTACCGGACAGGCAGGCTCTTGGGGTAGGCGTAGAAGGCGGCTATGATAATAATTACCCGACGGGCAGGCCCTTAAGGGAGGCGCAGAAGGTGCGGCTACTATACTATGATAATTACCCTACAGGTAGGCGCAGAAGGTGGCTACTATAATAATTACCCAACAGGCAGGTCCTTGAGGTAGGCGCAGAAGGCGGCTACTATATTATAAGAATTACCCGACGGGCATGCTCTTGAGGTAGGCGAGGAAGGCGGCTATGAGGAGAGCCGGGGCCAGGGCGGAGAGGCACCAGAACAGAGAGCGGTGTTGTCCGAAGAGGCGGGGCTGGTTGTACTGGTAGACTCTGCACCGGTCCGACAGGAGGAGGAGGAGGGTGAGGTAGAGGAGGGACGGGAGGAGGGCACGGAGGTATACCACGCT